GGCTATCATTTAAAATTAAAAGAGAGATAAAAAGCTTCTCATACAAGAAAAAGCTAAAGAAATTCATTACCACCAAGCCCGTTTTACAAGTAATGTTAAAGGGACTTCTTTAAGTAGAAAGGGGAAAAAGATAACAAACATGAATAATAAAATGGCAATAACTATGTACCTATCAATAATCACCTGAAATGTAACTGGATTAAATGCTCCAATCAAAAGACATAGGGTAGCTGAGTCGATAAGAAAACAAGACCCATACATATGCTGTCTACCAGAGACCCACCTCTGAAAGACACATAGACTGAAAGTAAAGGAATGCAAAAAGATATTTCATGCAAATGGAAAGGAAAAACAAAGCTAAGGCAGCAATATTTATATCAGACAAAATAGACTTTAAAACAAAAACTATATTAAGAGACAAAAAAAGACATTACGTAATGATAAAGGGGTCAATCCAACAAGAGGACGTAACCCTATTAAACATCTATGCACCAAACAAAGGAGCACCTAAATATAAAGCAAATACTGACCAACATTAAGGGAGAAATCAACAGTAATACAATCATAGTAGTGGACTTTAACACCCCAATGACACCAATGAACAGATCTTCCAGATAGAAAAATCAATAAGAAAAAACTGGCCTAAAATGACACACTAGACCAGATGGATATAATTGATATTTTTAGGGCATTCCATTTCAAAGTAGCAGAATATACATTCTTCTCAAGTGCACATGGAACATTTTCCAAGATGGACCACATATTAGGCCATAAAACAAGTCTCAATAAATTTAAGAAGATTGAAATCATAAAGTGTCCTCTCTGAACATAATAGTATAAAACTAGAAATCTATTACGAAACAAAACAAAACAAAAAACAACTTAAAAACCACACAAACACATGGAAGCTGAATAACATCCTACTACACAATAAATAGGTTAACAATAAGATCAAGGAAGAAATTAAAAGACACCTTGAGACAAATGAAAATGAAAACACAATGACCCCAAATCTGTGGGACACAGCAAAAGCAGTCCTAAGAGGGAAATTTATAGCAATTCAGGCTTACCTCAACAGACAAGAAAAAAATCTCAAATACATTATATATACATACCTGAGGAACACAGATGCAAAAATCCTCAACAAAATAGCAAACTGGGCCAGCCGAGTGGCTCAGTTGGTTAAGAGTGCAAGCTCTGAGCAAAAGGGTTGTCAGTTCGATTCCTGCATGGGCCAGAGAGCTGCACGTGAGGTAAGCTACCAACAGGTGGCAGGATGGCTCAGCTGGTGAGAGCACATGTTCCTAACAACAAGGTTGCAAATTGGACTCCCGCATGGGATGGTGGGCTACGCCCACCCGCAACTAAGATTGAACATGATAACTTGAGCTGAGTGCTGAGAACTGTCGACGAGAGGTCGGATGGTGACTGGACTTGGAGCTGAGCTAGCTGCACCCTTCACAACTAAGATTGAAGGACAACAACTTGCCTGTTCCCCTCCCCCAATTACCCAACACTGTTACCCTTCTCCCCCCCAAAAAATATTAGCAAACCAAGTTCAGCAATACAGTCAAAAGATCATATACCATGCTCAAGTGGGATTCATTCCTGGTATACAAAGTTGGTTCAATATCCACAAATCAACTAACATGATACACCACATAAACAAAATAAAAGATAAAAATCATATAATTATATATTATATGCAGAAAAAGCATTTGACAAAATCCACCATCTATTTGTGATAAGAGCTCTCAGCAAAATGGGAATATAGGAAACATATCTCAACATAATAAAGACCACATATGACAAACCCATAGCTAACATCATACTTAAAGTGGAAAAGCTAAAAGTGTTCTCTTTAAGATCTGGAACAAGACCAGGATATCCACTTTCACCACTTTTATCAACATAGTATTGGAAATCCTAGCCACAGCAATCAGACAAGATAAAGAAATAAAAAGTATCCAATTGGAGAGAAAGAAGTAAAATTTTCATTATTTGCAGATGACAGGATACAATATAGAGAAAACCCCAAAGATTTCACCAAAAATCTATTGAAACTGGTAAATGAATTTAGTAAAGTAGCAGGATACAAAATTAATATTCAGAAATCAGTTGCATTTTTATACACCAATAACAAACTATCAGAAAGAGAAATTAAGAAAACAATCCCATTTACAATTGCATCAAAAAAAACCCCACAAAGACCCCTAGGGATAAATTTAACCAAGGAAGTAAAAGACCTGTATTCAGAAAATTATAAGACAGTGAAAAGAGAAATTGAAGGCAATACAAATAAATGGAAACATAAACCATGCTCATGGATAGGGAGAATTAATATTGTAAAAATGTCCATATTACCCAAAGCAATCTATAAATTCAATGCAATCTCTATCAAAATACCAATGGCATTTTTTCACAGAACTAGAACAAATAATCCTAAAACTTATATGGAATCATAAAAGACCCTGAATAGCCATGGCAATCTTGAAAAGGAAGAACAAAGCTGGAGGTATCATGCTACTTGATATGAAACTATATTACAAGGTTATAATGATCAAAACTGCATGGTATTGGCATAAAAACAGACACATGAATCAATAGAACAGAATAGAGAACCCAGAAATAAACCCATGCCTATATGGTCATTTAATCTATGACAAAGGAAGCAAGAATATACAATGGGGTAAAAAGAGTCTGTTCAATAAATGGTGCTGTGAAAATTTGACAAAAATAAAATAAAATTGGACTACCCTCTTACTTCATATACAAGAATAAACTCAAAATGAATTAAAGACTTAAATGTAAGACCTGAAACCATAAAACTCCTAGAAGAAAACATCAGCAGTAAACTCTCTGACATAAACCTTAATAATATTTTTTTGTGATATACCTCCTTGAGCAAAGGAAACAAAAGGAAAAATAAACAAATGTGGCTACATAAAACTAAAAAGTTTTTGCACAGCAAAGGAAACCATCAACAAAACAAAAAGACATTCTACTGAACGGGTAAAGATATTTGCCAACGATACATCTGATAAGGGGTTAATATCCAAAATTCATAAAGAACTCATACAAGTCAACACCAAAATAACAAACAATCCAATTTAAAAATGGGCAGTGGACCTGAATAGAGATTTCTCCAAAGAAGACATATACATGGCCAATAGGCATATAAAAAGATGCTCAACATCACTAATTATCAGAGGAATGCAAATTAAAAACACAATGAGATACTACCTCACACGTGTCAGAATGGCCATCATCAGCAAACCAAAAAACCACAAATGATGGCAAGGATGTGGAGAAAAGGGAGCTCTCTGCACTGTTAGTGGGATTGCAAACTGGTGCAGCCATTATGAAAAACTGTTTGGAGGGTAGTCAAAAAATTAAAAATAGTGCTACCTTATGACCCACTCCTGGGTATTTAACCAAAGAAATCCAAAACACTAATTCCAAAAGATATAGGGGGCCGGCCGAGTGGCGCGTTGGTTAAGAGCTGGCTTGGAACGCCAGAAGGCCCCAGTTCAGATCCCACATATGAGGGCCAGTGACACTGCCCTCTGCAGCTGAGATGCTGAATAACGGCTCAACCTGGAGCTGGGCTGTCGTGAGTTGCCTGCGATGGTGTAGGCTGCAGCCCCTGCTGCAGTGGGTTGCCATGGGCTACCATGTGTGGCCAGCAGCCAGTGTGAGCAGCCAGCAGCTGCCGTGAGCAGCCATCCAGAAGCTGGCGACTGATCTGCCTCGCCAGGGAAGAGCGCAATGATGGTGCCAACTTGGGCCAGTGAAGCAACGTCTTCCGCAGCTAGACTGAAGAACAGAAGGACAGCAACTTTTCTGTTCCCCTTCCCCCAACTCCCCAGCACTGTTCCCATCCCCCAATTCCTCAATTAAAATCTTAAAAAAAAAAAAAGATATATGCACTCCTATGTTCATTACAGTGCTATTCACAATAGCCAAGATATGGAAGCAACTGAAATGCCCATCAATAGATGATTGGATGAAGAAAAAGTGGTACATATACACAATGGAATATTACCCTGTCGTAAAAAAAGAAAGAAATCTTACCATTTGCAGCAATGTGGATTGACCTAGAGGGTATTATGCTAAGTGTCATAAATTAGACTGAGAAAGACAAATACTATATAATCTCATATATGGAATATAAAGAACAAAATAAACAAACAAATAAAGCAGAAACAGACTCATAGATACAAAGAACAACTGATGGTTACCAGATAAGAGGGGGTTTGGGGGATCTGGGTGAGAAAGGTGAAGGGATTAAGAAGTACAAATTGGTACTTACAAAAGCATCACAAGGATGTAAAGTACAGTATGGGGAATATAGTTGATAATATTGTAAAAACTACGTATCATGTCAGGTAGGTACTAGACTTATTGGGGGGATCACTCCATAAATTATATAAATGTCTAACCACTATGCTGTACACCTGAAATTAATATAATATTGAATGTCAACTATAATTGAAAAAAAATAGTCATGGGGATGTAAAGTACAGCATAGGGAATATAGTCAATAATATTGTAATAACTATGTAGTGTCAGATGGGTATTAGACTTATTAGAGTGGTCACTTTGTGAAGTATATAAATGTCTAATCACTGTGTTGTTTTGTACATCTCAAACTAACATAATATTGTATGTCAACAAACACTGAAAAATAATTTAAAAAAATAAAATACATGATTACATAAGGAAAAACCTTCAAAATGGTCAATCTTCATTTATAAGAAATGTTGCCCCTGTATTTGAACTGCTCTATGCTCCCCCTGCACTGTAGGAGGGTCCTATTTCCCCTCACTCCCTCAGGTCATTATGGCACTGACCCATTTGCAGGGAGGTAATCTTGGGTACCCTGCTACACACTCATTGGCCAGGACTTGCTATGGTGGGAGGAGCATATCCAGTACTTTTCTTTATAGAAGGCTGATGCTTGGGTAATGAAGTCATAACTTGGACTGAAACCACGAAAACGGGTGTTACATGTTTTTTTCCCCCCATGGAAATGCTTATTTCATTGGGCAAGGACGTGGTCAAGGAGTACCTAGTGGAATTTGTGGATACATTTCTCACCAATAAGGTATGGAATTTCAGAAGAGATGAATTAAAGACTTATAGAATAGAACGAGCCTCTACAGTCCGAGACCAATGGTTTCAATTTGTAATCAATAGGATGCTGACATTTGTACTCAGCGAGATGGCTACAGCTGCATACAACCAGTTGGGCATAAAAGGTTTAAAAAACAAGATCACAGAGATTTTTAGAAAGCTGATGCAACGCCAACCAGCACAAGTGAGTGCGGCTTAATTTCTGCTTATGAATCCAGCTGGGTATGTACACAATCCTCACAAATTCTTAAGAGAACCTGACATATGTTTATGAGACTACCCTGTGGGAAGTTAAGAGGAGAATGCGGCTTCATTACTAAATTTAAATCACATACTTGTGGTAATTATCTTCAGGAGGACATACAGATTCCTGCCTTGGCTGCCTGGACTGATTGCTCACTTGCTGTTTCTACAACCACTGGCCCAAATTTTGATTCTGAACTCTTATTTCATCATCATATTAACTCCACCTCCCTGACAAAGAAGACACACTTGAACCTGAGAAAATCAAGGATTCCCCAACAGGAATGTGGCCTCAGGGCTGGTTCTCCGGTGTCTTCCTTCTCATTTTGGGGATGAGTCTTTGATTGGGATCTGAGCAAGCAGGCATCCTGATCTGGAGCAAACCCATGACAATATGTCCATGGGGGCAAGAGGTATGAGGGGTATGACCCTGGAGGAGGTTGAGTGAGTGGGAAGCTTTCAAATGTGAAATTCTGGAGTTGAGTCCTGAGGAGGCTTTGAAAACCTCCTTATTCAGTATGAGGAGCAGACGCGGGCGCCATAAGTAAACATCCAGGGCGCGGGGAGAGGGTACTTCCAGTTGTGAGGGGAAGAGTAAACATGGGTGCAGACATAAAATGGCGACTGTGAGGTAGTCAGCGAAGTGAGTAGTGCCCAGAGAGACCAAATTGGGCTACGAAGTCTTCAAGGGAAATATTATGGTCGTTACAGAAGGAAGGTCAAGTTCTTGTCCCTTGAGGAACCCCCAAAACTGTAAAGACAGACCTTGGAGGGGAAAGTGTGTGGACTTGAACAAGCCTCTGTGCTGTCATAAAGGGGGTTATTAGGCTCACAGTTTAAACAACACGGAATATGATTAAGGCCTTTTTTGCATGAAGAAATGAAGTGTGGACAAGTAGTCCCAGCCCCCATTAAGTTATTCCTCCCCTCAAGATTCACCCCCAATCTTCCGGGGTAGTGGCTCTCTCTTCATCTTCTTACCTCTATCATTTCCCCCTCTCTCCTCTCCTCCTTTACACACGTCAAGCTCATCCTGACCCTCAACATGTGCTCCTTCCCTTCTGTCCATTTTCTAGATTCGTCTGGCTCCTCGCACTCCTGGTCTTTCTGACCCTTGATCTTCCTCCCCACCCCCCAGGTTTTTTAGATTTTTCTGGGCTCTGCACAGTCCAAGCTCTTCCTGGTAGTCAGCCTCCTTCCTCCAACCCCTCCCATTTCGTAGATTCTCTGGGCTCTGAACCCGCCAAAGTCTTCCCGCCTTCTACTCTCCCCCACCCTCTCCCAATGCCTAGGTTCCTTTACAGCCTCTCATGGGCCTCAGTTACACTTACTCACAAATCTTGACATCTTGTTAAATTGAAAGCTCTGCAGAAGGACGAATTGAAGATCAGAGGTCGACATTAGCTTTCCTACAGCACAACCAGAAGGGCTGCAACCACCAGACCCAGACTCACCTTTGAGAGCAACTGCACACTTCTCCTCAGCCAGTTAAGAAATGAATCCTGGTAACCCTGCCCTAGCTCTGGAAACTGCGTTTGATGTCTCTTTTCACCACCTCAAGCCTGCACTTCATTGGCCACCCTTCCCCCACTGGAGTTCAGAAACCCTCTTCTGCTCCACACTCCCACACTTAACTCACTTCCTTTTTTGAATTGGTGAACACCCTCAACTTAAGCCTTCTGTCTCCCCAGTGTCCTCATGTCATCCTCCAGTCTCAGCTCACTGTCTGGATTTGCAGCCCCATTAGGGTTTCAATCTCCCTCTTAACCTTATTCCCTATGCCCTGTCCCCTGTCAACCTGTCCACCTTCCTAAACTGTGAGTTCCTGTGCCCCCAGGGATATGTGTCTGTGTGTCCTTCAATCTAATGCCCTTAACACACACTCGCACACACACATACATACACACATACACAATAAACACACACATACACAAACATATACTCACACATACACAAACATATACTCACACACTCACATATACATACACACAATCACACAGACATACACAGACACACACACACACTCCGCCCAAGGGGCTTTCTGCCCTAAGCTCTTGATTCCTTCATAGGCTTTAAGTGGTGTCCACAAGGGGCCCTTTACTGAATGCCACTTCGCTCTGGGGTGGGTCAGGAGCTCATGCCTTTTCTTGGTGACTCCATATAATCTTGACTATGTTTTGATGCCTTTACAGTCACCCATCTTGCTTCCGCCTAGAACCCCACCCTTCCTTGTCACCCCTCACTGACACTTCTAATTTCCAAAGTAGCAATTATTTTCCCCAAAGTACCTGATAGTTTTGTTAAAGTAGTTAGTTACACAACGGAGTGAATGCCTTTGTTTCACTGGCCAATTCCTATATCCCAAGCTGCTCACTCATCCCCACAAATGCCTTCTGCAGCAAAGATTTGCCCTCAGCTGAGCCAGCGTCCCTTCCCCAAACTGTTTCCCACTCTTGAGAAGAGCCAGCAGCCAGGGGCTGCATGGTACATGGCTCTAGAGTTCAAAGTGAAGTGATTCTGGGCTGTAGTGTATGATCCAAAGCCCCATGGTCAGGCTGCAGCAGGTCCCATCAGACCTTACCCCTCCTAGATTCCTTCCTCTGTACTTCTCAGATTCCCTCAGCAACCTCTCCATAATCCTCTTGAATCCCATCTCATGCTCTACTTCTAGGAATCGTGACCTGAGACCATCTACATCAGCAGTGGCCCTAGGAAGCTGGCCCCACATGTAGTTTCTCAGTTGGATCACTCACCACAGGATGGCAGTGAGCACCTTGCTCTTCTGGGAGGTGAGGTACAAACTATACAAAGAGTTTGTCAACTGTGGGATTGTGGACATTTCACCTGTGGTGAGCGGGGGTGGGTGGGTAAAGGAATGCCCAGCTGGTACACTGTTTCCAGGTTGAAAACTATGGAGCATTATCAATGATAAATATAATATTTATATTTCACCTGGGTTTATAAAAATAAGTTTATGTTGTCTCCGTTACAAATTTTCTCAGCAGTAAAATATTTTAGCTTGGGACAATAATTGACTTTGATGTTTCATAGAGTTTTCATTGATAACCTAAACATATTTGTTAAGGATTCATTAGATAGATGTAAGTAGAATAACAGTTTTTTGTTTTTGTTTTTCTTTGGTGAAACTTTTCAGCAATAATTGTTTTATGGTATGTGTACTTAAATATCATTTCCCAAAGTCTTTTGGTAACTTGATACCTTATACTTTTTCTAAGTTAAAAGATGGGAATTGCTGAATATCTAGATCATTTCCAAGCAAGATAAAATGCTGAAACATTAATTACTAAATGATTTAAGTTTTCCCTACTTTTTATAGAGAAACAGAAAGATAACTTTGGATCTATTCATGAATATGGCTGGTAGGTCCCTCTGCTCTCAGAGTTCTCAGTCTCAAGCTGAAGCCCCCCAACCCCATCCCACAAAGCCCTCCTCCATAGCACTTTTTTTTTTTTTTTTTTTTTTTTTTAAGCTGAGCCATCCTGCTACCTGTTGGCAGCTCAGCGGCTGCTCAGCTTGGGCTGGACTCGAACCGCTGTTGCTCAGAGCTCAAACTCTTAAGCGAGCTCTTAACCAACTGAGCCACTCAGCCAGCCCTAAAACCGTAAACTTTTTTTTTTCCAACAGATCCTTTGAATCCCAAATCACATTCAACATCCCAAACCTCTCCCATGCTCTACAATTTCCCATCCTGTCTCTGCACAGAAGCACATGCTTCCATGCCATTCCCTGATGCCCTCCTCGGCTTTCAATACTCGACCTTCAGGACAGGTTCTCAAAGATTCAGCCAAATGCTCACTAGCCACAGGAGCAGGAGTACAACCAAAGCAACCAACATGGTAGACGCTATTTCTCAACTTCCACGTCCTGCTTGTTAACTCTCTTTCAGACAAGCATGCTGAGTTTGTGGGGAAAAAAACAAGCAAAGAAAACACATAGGTGAGAACACAAATGTCTTCCCTAAATTAAAAGCCCAAGTGGGCACTGGGGAATGAGCATGTAGGGAGAACAGTGGGTCAGCTGACAGCAGCCAGGACCTTTGGGCCACTAGAGGGCAAATGCTGATGGCTTTTTAAGGAGTCGTAACAATAAACAAGCTGGCAGATTTTGTTGACAGAATAACTTTCAACATCTGAGTGATCATGTTCCTCAAAGGCAAAGTGAAAGTGTATTTGGAATTAGAACAATGGCAGTTAAGGCTACTGCGGTGGTGCACCCTTCCTAGTGGGGACACAGGCTGGTTCATTGGGGACCCTTATTTAGCCTACAACAGTATTAAACTGCAAATATTCACTCTTTGTATATAAGAAATCTTGCCCCTGTACTTGAACAGCTCTATGTTTCCCCTGCACGGTAGGAATTTATGGTGCCTCTTACTCCCTATGGCATTTGGGAGCTCCATTGGTCAGCTCCACCTGCAATCCAGTTGGCTGGAAGTGGTGCTGGATACCTTGCTACACTCTCATTGGTCAAGACTTCCTGTGGGAGAGGAGCACTTCTCCTTATGAAAGTGGGCTCTACTGGTGTGAAGTCGAATCTTGGACTGACACCAAGAGAAACACTCATTACTTTTTTCTCTATGGATTCAATTATTTCATTTTGCAAGGGTGAGGGCATGGAGTTTGCAGTGAGTAAGGTGGCTGAATTTCTCACAGATAAGATTTGCAAATTTGGAAGAGATATATTAATGACATATGGAATGGAGCAAGCCTTCCTTCTCTTAGACGAATTCATCATCAAAAAGATACTGAAACGTGTACTCAGGAAGATAGCTCTGTCTGCATACAACCTGTTGGCCATAAGAGGCTAAAAAACAACATGTCACAATTCTTTAGAAAGCTAATGCGTCGCCAACCAGCACAAGTGATTGTGGCTTAATATGTGCTTATGAATCCAGCTATGTATCTACGGAATCTTCTGAATTCTTAATATAACCCAACAAATTATTTTTATGAGACAATATGACGTGAAATGCTAACAGAAGTTATTGCCATTATATTACTAAATATAAACCCCGTACGTTTCGATAATCATTGTCAGGACATATGGATTTCTGCCTTGGCTGCATGAACTGAATCCTTAACTGTGGTATCATCAACCACTGACGGGAAATGTTGATTCCGAACTTTACTTCCATCGTCATACTAACTCCGCCTCCCTGACGAAGAAGACGGAACTTGAAACAGAGAATGCAGGATTGCCCAACAGGAATGTAGTTTCTGGGCTGGTTCTGTGGTGCTTTCCTCATTTTGAGGTGAGTTTCTGACCTGGGCTCTGAGCAGGGGAGGGGTCCCAATCAGGAGAGAACCCAAGATGAGCTGGGAGGACACATTCCTGGGGCAGGAGGTACTGAGGACTATGAGCCTAGATTGGGTTTAGGAGGTGGGCAGGTTTCCGAGGTAAAATTCTAAAGTTGAGTCTGAGGAGGCTTTGAAAATCTCCCGCCTCTGTATGAAGAGCAGGCTTGGGAGCCATAGGTACCCATGCTGGGGCGGGAGAAGAAACTTCCGGATGTGAGGGGAAGAGTAAACATGGGCGTAGAGGTAAAATGGCTGCTGAGGTAAAATGGCCACCATGAGGAAGTGAGCAGAGTGAAGTGGGCCCAGAGCAGCTGGCTGGGGAAGGAAGTCTTCAAGGGAGAAATTATGGTTGGGACAGAGTGCTATGGAGGAACCCCCAGAAATTTAAAGACAGACCTTGGATACCTTGGGTGGGGAAGGTTGTGGACCTGAACAAGCCTCTGAGCTGTCTTACAGGGGCCTGTTGGCTTACAGTATAAACAGCATGGAATAAGATTGAGGCCTCTTTTAGCATGGAAAAATGAAAGTATAGATAAACAGTCCCGATCCCTGCAGAGTTACTCCTCACCTTGAGATTCATCCCCAATCCTCCAGGATAGTGGCCCTCTCTTCACTCTATTCCCCCTTTCTTATCTGCTTCTCCTGCCTTCTTTGCTAGATTCATCTGTATTCTGCACACACCAAGCTCACTCATCCTGGCCCTAACACCCTCCCTCTCCCACCTCTCCATTTTCTACATTCTTCTGGCCTCCCCACACTCCTCATCTCCCCTGTCTTCCTTCTCCTCCCTCACACTCCACCCTGTTTTCTAGATTCCTCTGCCTGCAGAACACTCCAAGGTCATCCCAGCCTCTATTTCTGCCCCTGTCCCTCACTGCGCCCAGGCTCCTTTTCAGCCTCCAATTGGGGCCACAGTTTGTTTTACTTACTCAAAAATCTTGGCGTCTTGCTATCTTGAAAGCTTAGCAGAAGATTGTCTTGAAGCTCTGAGGTGGACGTTAGCTTTCCTATGTTACAACAAAGATGCCACCACCACCCAACCCAGACCCAGCTTTGACAGCAACTGCACACGTCACAGCCTGATAGGATCTAGAAACTGAAAACCCTCCCCTGGCTTCAGAAATGAGTTTAATGTTTCTTATCTCCACCCCAAGCCTGTTCTTCATTGGCCCTTTCCCAGCTTGTGAGAAACCTTCTTCCGGCCAATGCAACCTTGAGCAACTCCCTTCCGTTTTTGAATTGGCCAACATCCTCATTTCAGGACTTCTGTCTCCTCAGGATCCAGATGTCATCCTCCAGTCCCTGCTCACTCTCTGGATTTCCAGCCCCATCATCTGGAATTGAATCTCCCTCTTCACCTTATTACCTGCCTGCAGTCCCCTGGCCACCTGTCCATTAGCTTCACCCCTTAATCTGTAAACTCCTGTGACCCTTAATTTTGCATCTGTGTGTCCCTTAGCCTGACTCAGCATGCAGAGATACACACAGTGACATATTCGTGCACATAATCACACACACACACACACACACACACACACACACACACAAATACACACAGCCCAGAGAGCTTCCCCCCCAGACCTTTGATCCCTTCTCTCAAAGCCACTTCCTTCTGGGGTGGGGGTGGGGCTCTTCCCTTTTCTTAGTGGTTCCTTCCTAATCCCCCATCTCCCCTTTGCTCAAACCCTATCCTTCCTTGTCACTCCTCACTGCCACTTCTAATTTTCAATGTAGCTGATATTTTCCCCAAAGTACCTGATATTTCTCTTTAAAGTAGTTACACAATATAGCGAGTGCTTTTGGTTCACTATGTTGTGAACCAGAAGTTTGTATACCCCAAACTGCTCCTTCATTCTTGCAGATGCCATCAACAGTGTAGATTTGCCCTCAGCTGAACCAAAGCCCCTTCCCCATGCTGTTGTTCTACATCCATTTGGAGAGTAGCCAGCAGCCAGAGACTGCTTGGCACATGGCTCTGGAGCCAAAAGTGAGTTGACTCTAGGCTTCAGTGTGTGCGCCGGAGCCCCATGGTCAGGCTGCAATAGGACCTTAGTCACACCCAACCCCTGCTAGATTCCCTGCTCTGTGCTGCCCAGGTTCCCTCCAGCACCCCTATCATGAACCTACTGAATTCTGTCTCCTGCTTTTCTTGCAGGAAACATGACCAGAGACCGTCCGCACCAGCAGTGGCTCTCAGAAGCCAGCCCCAAGGGTAGCTTCTGACTTGGGTCACTCACCACAGGACAGCCATGAGCACCTCACACAGCTGGGAGTTGTGGTGCTGACTGTTTCAGGCATATGTCTGCTGTGGGACCATGGACATTTCTCCTACAGTGTGCTGGGATGTGTTAAGGGGGTGCACAGCTGGCACACTGTCTCTGGGTTGAGAGAAAGATAAAGATAAGGAATGTGGAATTAAATGGCTGATATAAAGTGCCACTGAGCCTTCACTCAGCAACTGAAAGCAAAGTATGAGAGTTGATGTGATCCTGTCCTCCTGCAGCTGAAGGACAGGCAGAGTTGAAGACCCAGTGCAGGACTGAAGTGTAAAAAGCAAAACTTCAATGGAGCTCTTGGCCTCCCAAATGCTCTATCCCTAAATTAGAAAAAGAGGGCCCTTGGGACTAGAAATTGGCAACCTACTCCTGAGTAGATAGATATACTTGAGACTTGACACCAGATTCCCTAAATCCTCTGGGCCTGCAGAAGGTACCTACAATGGTTAATGTTATGTGTCAAGTTGGCTAGACTATGGTACTCAGATATGTGGTCAAACTCTAGTCTATGTTGCTGTGAAGGCATTTTTTTTTTTTTTAGCTGAGCCATCCTGCCACCTGTTGACAGCTCAGCAGCAGCTCAGCTCTGCCCAGGAATCAAACTGCTGTTGCTCAGAGCTCGCACTCTTGAGCGATTTCTTAACCAACTGAGCCACTCAGCCAGCTGCAGGCATTTTTAAAATGTGATGAACAAGGAGGAGACCCAAGATAGTGAAGTAGATAAATGTTGCACCTGCTTCCTTCCATTAACACATTAATACAACTAAATTATAAAACAATCAACCTGGAGAACCATCTGAAGTCTGGCTAAACAGAAATTTTGTAACTAAGGATATAAAGAAAAAGCCATGTTGAGACTGGTAGGAGGGGCGGAGACACAAAATGGGCTCGTCCCAAACCTCACAAAATGGGCTAATCCCAAACTTCGGTGTGGTGGATGAATATTGAGAGGGATGCCTCAGTCATGGAGGTTCCCCTCTGGAGGAGTGAAGGACCCCAGCCCCACTCCAGGCTCCCCCACCCGAAGTACTGGTCCTGGGAAGAGGAGCCTCCACAACATCTGGCTGTGAAAAACAGTTGGAATTCCAATCATCTGGTGGGACAGAAGGCTGCAGGAAACCCAGATATCCTCTTAAAGGGCCCGTGTACAGACTCACTCGTCCACAGGTGTTGCCTTACAGCCGATTCCAAGACCACCCCCGCTGCATTAGCTCCTGACCCTATTGGTCATTGAGAGAGTGTCTCAGTATGACTGAGGCCCGGTGGAATGATATCGGTAAAGCTCTCTCGGGGGGTGTCTCAGTATGACTGGGACCTGATGGAATGATATCAGTTATCTCCCCTATATGGAGGGACACAGTAACAAGATGTCCTGGGGCTGTGTAGTGATGTATGAAGGCATAGCACTTGTTGGAATACCATGGGGATAGGTTAATGGAAAACAGCCTTAAGGCACACAATAACACACGGTTACTAATTCACAGCAGTTTTTATTTCCTTGAAAATTTTCAATAAAAGCCATGCGCTGACCCGATTCGGGGCTCAGTCTTCTCTGGCTGAGTCCCTTGGTCTCACTCTTATCTGACTTTGTCTCTTGTTCTTATTCAATCTGCGTCGCTCCTCTCGTGTCCCATTAGCCCTTGCCACGCAGGACGTGACACACAGGCCCTCACCCTGGGATCCGGCAGAGGGATGGTGACTCAGTGGTGTGTCAGAGGTATACAGGGAGCAGACTGAGGTGTGTAGTTTCTGAGCAAGAGCTGGAGGTCAGTCAGCATTTTTCCTGTGAGGGGGCTTTCTCCCGTGCAGCCAGCAGGCGGCTGCCATCTTTAATATGTTGAGCCCTCCCCCTACACTTACAGTCAAATCTGAATCTGATTGCTCTGGTGGGCTCTGGGGCTCTGCCCTGCTGACTCACTGGGACCCCACCCCACCCATCTCCCCCAACACCAGAGACACTTTCTCTGAGAACAGCCAGCTACCACCCCCAACATTGCACTCTTTCTTGAAAAACTATCCATGGGCCCCAGTCAGACAATGACTGGCCTCATTGCACTCTGAGATTTTTGCTGAGTTACTCCAGGCTCAACGCAGACACCAAATCAGAGTCTACATTAACCTGGTGACCACAATGCTTCCCACTGTAGTGACTCCCTGAGACCCTGCCTCATCCAACTTGCATACCATACAATATTTTATTAGTGGCTGAACTTTAAGGAAGCTGGCAGGTGGCAGCAGGACTTGGGGTGTCCTGGCTTTTTGTGGAGCTACCCCAGGCTCAGTACTGCTGGCAGCCATCCTTGGTTCACAGTGTGGCCTCTCCCATGGGCCTCCAGGTTAGTGCAGGGAGCAAAATACCACAGATCACTTTGTAGCTCCTACCAGATAGTCCCTGGTTGGTTACAGGCAGTGGGTAACCTGGGCCTGCACTGGAAGTTGGCTTCAGACCACAGCAGAGCACTGCCCAATTAACCCCACAGGTGGACACACAAATGGTGATTTCAGCATGCACTAGAGCCCACTGGGGCAAATCCCACTCAGTGGGCTAAACACCGCATATAGCAGCCTATAAGCTGTGGACATGGCAAAACACCACAACCAATCAGGCTGAAGATCAATCTCATCCACTGACTTGCCAATAGCAATCAAACCTGAAGAGGAGAGCACGTACAACTCATACAAAGGGACACTCCTGGAGCACGCAGCTCAGGTGACCAAGGAGACTGTGCCAGGGCTCCACAGGGCACCTAACACATAAGGCCACATGGCCAAGACTGGGAGACATAGCAGACCTACCTAATACATAGAAACAAACACAGAGAGGCAGCCAAAATGAGGAAATGAAGAAATATATCCCAGGGCTGGCTGAGTGGCTCAGTTGGTTAAGAGCATGAGCTCTGAGCAACAGGGTCACCAGTTCGACTCCCACATGGGCCAGTGAGCTGCACCTAAGCTGAGCTGCCAACAGGTGGCAGGATGTCTCAGCTATTGAGAGCATGTGCCTCTAACAACAAGGTTTCCGGTTCGACTCCCGCATGGGGTGGTGGGCTACGCTCACTCGCAACTAAGATTGAACATGGCACCTTGAACTGAGTGTCCACAAGGCTGCCAATGGGCAGCCAGATGGTGACTGGACTTGGAGCTGAGCTAGCTGTGCCCTCCACAACTAAGATTGAAGGACAACAACTTGGCTGTTCCCCTTCCCCAATTCCCCAACACTGTTTCCCTCCTCCAGTTCTCCAATAAACTCTTAAAAAAATAAGAAGAAGAAAGAAAGAAGGAAAGAAAGAAAGAGAAAGAAAAAGAAATATATCCCAAATGAAAGAACAGGGGCAAACTCCAGAAAAAGAACTAAATGAATATAGGCATGCAACCTACCAGAGACAGAGTTCAAAACAATGGTTATGAGGATGCTCATAACTTAGTGTAAACTTCAACAAAGATATAGTAAGCATAAAAAAAGACATAGAGGGCCAGCCGAATGTCTCAGTTGGTTAACAGTGCGAGCTCTGAGCAACAGGATCGCCGGTTCTATTCCCACATGGGCTAGTAAGCTGTGACAGAGCTTAGCTGCCAACAGGTAGCTGATGGCTCAGCTGGTGAAAGCACGTGCTCCTAACAACAAGGTTGCTGGTTCTCGCATGGGACGGTAGGCTATGCCCACCCACAGCTAAGCTTGAACATGGTACCTTGAGCTGAGCAGCCGTCGCGAGTTGCTGATGGGCAGCTGGATGGCAACTGGACTTGAGAGCTGAGCTAGCTGCGCCCTTCACAACTAAGACTGAAGGACAACAACTTGGCTGTTCCTCTTCCCCAATTCCCCAACAAATCTTAAAAAAAAAAAAAGACATAGAAACCATAAAAATAAATAGTCAAGGGCAAGACGAGTGGTTTGTTGGTTAAGAGTTGGCTTGGGAGCGCGAGCTCTGAGCAGCAGGGCTGCCAGTTTAGATCCCACATGGGCCAGTGACGCTGCGCCCTCTATAGCTAAGATGGTAAAGAACAGCTCGACCTGGAGCTGGGCTGCCGTGATTTGCCGACCACACCGTAGGCTGCAATGGGCTGCAGTGGGCTGCCGTAAGCTACTGTGAGTGGCTGGCAGCCAGCATGAGCGGCCATGAGCCGCCATGAGCGGCCGTCCAATGGCCAGCGACTGATCTGCCTCAGCTAGGAAGAGTGCAATGATCACAATACCAACATGGGCCAGTGAAGCGGTGTCCTCCACAACTAGACTGAAGAACAAAAGGACAGCAACTTGTCTGTTCCCCTTCCCCTATTTCCCAATGCTGTTCCCTCCCCCCAATTCCCCAATAAAATCTTTCAAAAATAATAATAACCAGTCAGAAGTAAAGAATACAATAACTGAAATGAAGAATACACTAGAAGAAATCACCAGTAGACTAGATGAAGCAGGGGGTTGAATCTGCAATTTGCAAGACAAGGTAGTATAAAACACCCAATTGGTATACCAAAAAGAAAAAAGGATCCCATAAAATGAGGATAGCTTAAGAGAACACTGAGACAACATCAAGCCTACCAACATTCACATAATAATAGTACCAGAAGGAGAAGAGAGAAAGCAAGGGAATGAGAAACTATTTGAAGAAATAATGACTGAAAACGTTTCTAACCTGGTGAAGGAAATAGATATACAAGTCCATAATGTTCAGAGTCCCAAACAAGATGAGCCCAAACAGGTCCACACATTATAATTACAATGGCAAAGGTTAAAGACAAAGAGAGAATCCTAAAAGCAGCAAGAAAAAAGCAACTAGTCGATTATAAGGGAGCTGCTATAAGATTGTCAGCTGATTTCTCAACAGAAATTTTGCAGGCCAGAAGGGACTGGCACAAAATATAGAATGTGATGAAAAGCAGGGACCTACAACCAAAACTACTCTACCTAGCAAGGCTATCATTTAAAATCAAAGGACAGATAAAGAGTTTCCCAGACAAGAAAAAGCTAAAGGAATTCATCACCACCAGACCAGTATTACAAAAAAATGTTAGAGGGACTTCTTTAAGATGGAAACAAAATAAAAATTATGAGTAATAAAATGGCAATAGCTACATATTTATCAACAATTACTTTCAATGTAAATGGATTAAATGCTCCAATCAAAAGACATAGGAGGGGCCGGCTGAGTGGTGCGTTGGTTAAGAGCTGGCTTGGGATGCCAGAGGGCCCCGGTTCGGATCCCACATATGAGGGCCAGTGACACTGCCCTCTACAGCTAAGATGCTGAACAANAGACAAGTTGCTGTCCTTTTGTTCTTCAGTCTAGTTGTGGAGGACGTCGCTTCACTGGCCCATGTTGGTATTATCATTGTGCTCTTCCCAGGTGAGGCAGTTACTCGCCGGCCTCTGGACGGCCGCTCACGGTGGCTCATGACAGCTCTGGAAAGCTCGCCAGCTGCTGGCCAGCCCCACTGTAGCCTATGCCGTTGCCAGGAACTCACAGCAGCCCAGCTCCAGGTCGAGCTGTTGTTTACCATCTTAGCTGTAGAGGGCGCAGCATCACTGGCCCTCGTGTGGGATCAGAACTGGGGTCCTGTTGCTCTGAGCTGGCGTCCCAAGCCAAGTCCTA